GAAATGATTTTTCCACTTGTTAAAGAAATAGTATGCTCTTAGTTTAGCCCCCAACAATGTCATTTTTGTTTATTTTTCTGCAGTGAACATGTTTTTGCGTAGAAAGAAAGTTTTCATCTCAGACCATGCTCTGTTGTTAACCATTACACCTCAAGAGATCGCAGGTGTGAAACTGGACTCTGAGCGGTTTTCTGGTACCTATACCCCCTTAAGGTAAAATAATTGGCGAGCGGGAGTGAGCTAACCTAGTGGTACGAATGGCGCAGATTTTCTATATAATTATTTATTTATATATTTATCTACGACCGTACGTTGTACAACTACGCATGCTCGAGGATTACGCGCTTCTTTTTATCCGAAAAGATTTTAAAATTTTCACACAATGTCGTGCATGTACATGTACGTGCGTATACGCGTTGTGTCGTACTCTCGCAATCATGGAAGGATCAGTCCAGAGAAGATGCCCTTCGTCGTCGAAGAGAGCGGTAAAGAGAACGTCGTGCCCGTGAGACTCCTGAGCAGAGAGAGGCTCGTCTGTATCAGCGTCGCTTGCGTGATGGGGAACACGCTTATTTTTACACGCAGCCTAGCTGTCATATCGATGCGAAATCTAGCCACTCTCGTCTGTTCGCTGGGCTGCGCTCTTGAACGAGGCTGTATATACCTCTTTCCGATCTTCGTGGTTTTAAGGTTCAAGTTGTAAATAGGCTAGGATGGCTAATGCAGATACAGTCATTGTGTGCTCGCTCCCCCTCGCCAAAAATTCCGTGCATTCGCCTACTAGTATTATACTGTATGGAAGCCTCTTTTCGGCCAGTTTGGCATACTATTTTACATAATGCACAATGCATTGTTCATAGTGGGCACAACTGAACAAATTTGGTAGAGTGTGCTGCTATTATGCTGTTAGCCTCATGCAGGGAGTATATATGACTTCTGTTGTATTTTGGAAGGCTGGGTGCCAGACAGACCACCTGCCACCAACAGGAAGGCTGAAAAAGTCGCATAAGCACCTGGAAGGTGATAACGAGCGATCCATGGGTATTAAACAGTGAATCTGCAACATTCCTCAAGTTTATTAGGGACTTTCAAGTAGCTATTAAAGATACACTATACACCATGTGTGGGTGTGTATACTATTAATAGCCACTTTTTTGACTTTCCCAGGTTCATAGAGCTGCCACTCAAGGATATTGTTTCCTGGCCACCCCCACTAGATGATGAAACGGAGCAAAGGGAAGAGAATGAGGGGGGTGGAGCTATGTCTGGTACCCCCAGAGACAGCAGTGGAGGAGCATGTAATGTTGTGGTGGAAGAGATCCCCGAGCAAAACTCGCAGGAAAGTGACATTTTGCTGGCGCCCAGCGGTGAAGGGAACGGAGACCATCATACCAGTTCCACGGAGACTGGACAGGGTGAACCATGGAAGGTGACAATAAGGGACACCCAAAGCAAGATTCTTTTCAGGCTGTTCACATATATAAAATCTGATCTGCTGAAACATACCAGTACCGCACTGGGCCAAAGTTCGAGCGCCGAGCGGTAAAAAGAAGAGACAACTGAAGATACTGAGGACAATGATGATAGGGACTAGTTAGAAAAGGCTACTTAGTTTTGTAATTTTTGTGAATGATTGACAGTGTAGCTACGTTCATGTAGGGTGTTACTTTATCGAAATAGTTTTGTGTATCATTTTTAATTTCTAAAATGTACTCATTCAATGGCATTACTCTTAAATTTCTGAGTTCAAGAATGAAAGAAAATTAATGTTTGTCCACTGAAGTCATTATACAAAATGGCCCATTAATCTTCCTGCTCCTGAAATCAACAGGTGTTTGACACTGTGGACATATGGAGTTTTCAGCACATTTCTGGCAATAGTAGTAGACATTGCCAGATTTGTCTTTGCATGAGTTGTCACAGGCATTTGTGTAGGCACCATCGTCATTTATGGGATGTGGACACCCGGGACTGGCAGGCGACTGCAAAAAACACATTTATTAATAATTAGCGAACAAAAGCGAGCCTACATATAGCCATCTGAATGCGGGATTTTTTCTATACCGGTATAGTGAGACAAACCTAACTGTGACAGGGTGTACAACTTATCTATACTTTGGCAGACAGCCAAAGGAACCTTCATTAATGCTAGCATTACACTAATTACTTGCACAACGAATTTAGGTGGGCTTACATATATAACAGCTGAAAGTGGTTGTTACCCTCGGCGCACATGCACAGCGAGGGTATATACAGTAGTCTGTGTCTGTCTGTCTGTATACTTTACATCTGTTACTCAACATCTCACTTCTCCAATGTTCGTTCGTCTCACAAACGATACGACTTACTTAACGGGCAATGATGGTCAGGAGGTTTTATCTGAAAATGCTCCGTTGCAAGGCTAGAGCGATTCCAGCATTGTACGGCTAATGCGTAGTCTGCCATTTTTTCGCTGCGGAAAATGTGCATGCGCATTATATTATTTGCAAATTTGCACAGGTTTACCTCGACCGGGTCCGCTCGCTCTGTGTACCTTGGAGGCACAAGAAGTCACGACGGAGGGCGTGTATCGACTCTCGCATACTATCTACTACTGTAGCCAGACGCTCCCGAGCTAATATACAGCGGGAAACTGTTGCGAGGTAGTAACGCATACTATAGCGCCTCGCCGACCAGAAGGTTGACTATCGTGCTATAGCGCAGCTTGCCGACCGTTTGCGCACTCTATACACCCTCGTCGCGCTTGTGACTGCGATGACCTAGTGTCTCTGCCACCACGCTACTAACATAACCAGGTAAAATAGCCTGACAGACCACAGTTCCGGTTTCAGCGCTATACACTGACTGGCTGTAAAAACCATGGCGATTTTCGTAAAAGTGTCTGCGTTCAGACGTTGTATGGCGTGAAAATCCCAATGCAAGTGAACAAGCCATTCTAAGTAGCACAGGCTTACCGTCGACCGGTTCCGCTTGTTTGTTAAGGCAGTCGTAGCGTACAATCGTGTATTGACTACCCGCCTCCCCTCATGTGATCTACGACGGTAGCTAGCCCGTGGTCACGAGCTCTCGCGATCCCCTGTTGCTAATATATTTATAGCGGCATAGACTTCAAAATGAAGGAGGATATAGGGATGGCTTGAAAACCAAAAAGGAAGAAACAAGGGGTCATTACACAGTGCAAAGATGCACAAAGCTGCATGACACCGTCTCTACATCTTTATAAGCAAAGTTTAACATCGAACAAAGATATAGGGATGGTGTCATGTATCTTTGCTGTGTAATGACCCCTTGTTTCTTCCATTTTGGTTTTCAAGCCATCCCTATATCCCCCTTCATTTTGAAGAAATGATTTTTCGACTTGTTTCCACTATTTTTAACAGCTTATGACAACACTAGATTTTTGTTACAGTCTTTCTGATATTCATGCATATGCTGTAGATAGGCTACCATAGCTAAACTCTAACTGTTGAAAGCAGTAGATAATGGGCTGCTATATACAAGTATGTTCGCGCTGAGAATGCACCTTGATAATCTAGAATAACTTCCGATTCCAGCACCGTATGCGGCCACGCTTGGTATCAAAATGTAGCGCGTCACACTCCGGTTCGTTCAGCGCTTACCCCGTTCAAATCCGCTGCGCAGTTGTTTTGCTACGCACGTTATGCATAATCCCCATACATTTCTATGGCATACTTTACATATGGCCAGAATATACCGCCGTCCTCATTATCTACTTCCGCATGCATTCTCAGCGTGAACATACTTTAGTCCCAAGTCATATGAAGTGTTACTTGAATGGGTATTCTTTATCACCTTTAGACAGTTGAGACATTCGCCCTTTTCAGCACATTCCTTGCAATAGTTGAAGACTTTGTTGCATTTGCCACAGGTATTTTGGCTGGCCCCATCCGTTAATACTTTGCGACAGAAGGGACTGTCACATTTCTGCAAAATAACACATCGTTAACAATAGGCGAGCAAAGCAAGCCTACCTAGCGATCTGGATGCGGGATTTTTCTATACCAGCTTTTAAGTGAGATGAGTAGCTATAACTGGAATGAATCTAGTGACACTGTGGCGGAGTGTACAACTTATAGCTACAGTGGAGTCCCGTTAAGTGAATTACTGGGGAGCTAAATAATTAGTTCACAGTAAGCAGAATTTTGTATAATAATTATAGTAAGTGTGGTGAAAATATGCAGTGTTCTATAGGCCTGGGCTCCGAGGGTATGTCTGTAGTATGCAGAATTTGTACTTGGTGTGTTCTTTATAAGGAGACTCCAATGTAGTTAGATAAGGGGTGGGCTATCTACTTTGGCAGATGGCCAAAGAAACCTTGCTAGCACATTACACTAATTTTCAAAGCGATTACTTCACTTAGGTGGTTGTTTTAGGGCTTATGTACAAGTGGTTGTTATCACTATCAAACATTTTCCCTTTAGCCCGAGGTATAGTTCATTAGGTGTATATACAAAGATTTCCCGTGTGGCGTTATTGTGGTGGGCTCAACATACAGCACTATTATTTGGACCTGCTCACCAAAAATGACAGAAAATACTCACACGGGGTTGGGTTCCCTGGGCTCCAGTGGTTCCCTGGGCCTGGGCTCCAGTGGTTCCCTGGGCACCTTCTGTTTGACCACTAGTACCTGTGGCCACTGGATCTGACCTCTATATAAAATATTTTTGTAAGTTTTGTATTGATTTTCCTGCCTCCCCTAGCAGCTTTACTAAAGCCCGTCCCGTGCAACTAAAATAAAATAGTGTACAAAGATATAATCCGCCTTTGAGCCTGCTATATAGGAATATATATTCATTTGGGCTTTGTCCCAAATTGAAGAAAATATTGAAAGGGGATGTAAAGATGATACCTCATGATAAACTAGGTAGAAGAAGATGCCTACACCGAGGGTTTCATAGCCGTATATTTACACCTTTTTTCATGTATAAAACTATACAGAGGACAACAGAGGGCGTGTTCTAAAACAATAGTTGTAGGGATATGACTGTTCCCCTTCCCTTTCATTTCAGAAAATCATTATTTTGTTGAGATCTACAACTTACAGTAGGTTCTGACTTGTACTATCTGACCCCTGATCTGACCCCTATATGAAGAACATTTTGTAGTGCAATGTAAAAAATATGAGTAGCTATGTGCAATAATAATAATAAAACTTTGTGACTAAAGGTTACAGTAAATGGCACAGGTTATGATGTACATGTCAAAGAGTCTTTCAAGTACTTGGTCTAGCAATCTGCTTCTTCGCTATAAAGTCATGAGTCAGGGGTTCCGCTATACAATAACCATTCCATGTCAGCGGATCCAGGGGATTGTTCCACGGAACCCCCTTTTTGTCGTTTTGCGCGCATGTGTCGCCGGCCTCGTGCGGGCGCACGAGCGGAGTCGAAAACATGCCATTGCCGCCTCATCGAAAACGTTCTGGGCAGTGGACCCCCCCCTTTCAAAATCCTAGATCTGCCACTACATGTCTTGTCAAATTAATGAGCATCGTGACAACAGGTAGCTATATACATTGCATACAGTAGCTTTTATGTAGCTACTTAGTGTACCGGACTGGTCGGATTATCAGCTTCATCATCAGAACTATTGTCATCTGGGTGGTCGTGTGTCATTCTCGTTCTGAAGCTAGTTCAATTTACTTCCTTGAAGGAGAGACACAAAGAGCGGCAGCTATATTATACATAGAAAGGGAGAGATGGTGAGTGAGTGGGATACAGAGTGGGGAGGGGGGAGAGAAAAAGGAGAGGAGGGGAAGAGATAGAGAGAGGGCCAGGAGAGGCAGAGAGAGAGACTCACTTTCACCAATTTCCCACAGCCGATGGGCCAGGGCCGACTGAGTGGCTTTATATCGGCAGTCTAATCTACAAGTCCACTATCAAAGTTTCCGCCGTGTCCTTATTAGGAGCTTTAGGGCGACTTTATGACGTGGCTCTTGTTCACAGGAGGCGATCTGATTGGTCAGTTCTGAGTGAGGGAGAAGCCTGAGAACAATTTCCCACAGCTGATGGGCCAGTGCCGATTGAGTGACTATCGGCAGTCCAATCTACAAGTCCTATATCAGCCCCCAGTGTCCTTATTAGGAGCTTTTGGGCGACTTTATGACGTGGCACTTGTTCACAGGAGGCGATCTGATTGGTCAGCTCTGAGGCCTGAACAATTTCCCACAGCCGACGGACCAGGGCCGACTGAGTGACTATCGACAGTCCAATCTACAAGTCCATTATCAGATCCCAGCCTCCCATGTCCTTATTAGGAGCTTTAGGGCAACCGTGTGACGTGGCCATTGTTCACAGGAGGCGATCTGATTGGTCAGTTCTGAGAGAGGGAGAGGCCTGGAAAGCCGCAGTTTACATAGACTATCTCTCAGTACTTGATGGCCCTCTGAACTGAATGTTCACTTGAGTGGTTGGGTATGCTTGTGTCTATAGCAACATGGTATCTTTGTTCTTATCACAGCTCCATTGAAACATGTTTCCACAGAGCCAATTAGAGGTTCAATTCCCCAGATATTCAATGGGTCTTTCATAAATGAAAACCGCGATATCACCTATACAACAGCTTTTAGTCATGTTTGTCATTTCTCATGTAGTGTGTGCTCCAAGCTCTAAGTATTGCGAGTGAGGGTGGCTTGCCTAAGTACTGCTGTCTATCACTGCTTAGAGGCCGAAAAAAGACAGGAAAAAGAAGAAGAAAAAAAAGAAGGGGGGGGGGCAGAAAAGCAGAAAAAGCCCCTGCTTGCCACATATACCACCAATGCCTCACCAACCATGCTTGTGACAACCTCGTAGTACCCCCAACCTCACCTGTTTTCTTCCCCCTGTCTGCCCCCCCACACTCTCACCCCCCCCACTGTTGACAATTATTTAGTAAAAGCTTCCAATTGAGTCAGGTTTCAACATCTGTTTCACTACCACAAAAAAATACGTTGCCTACAAACTTTTTGGCCATAAAAGATGTTCAACACACTGCCCCAGTTCCACCGGATCTCTGGCTCTCATTTTTTCTTCCAGTGGTGTGTTGGTATGTCGTAGGTCCGTCGAATTTGTGAAAAGCGGATGGGGGGATTGTGATAGGTGAACCCTTTTGGGCGTTCTCTTTCGAATGTGCTAACATATAGTAGCTATAGCTACACACATTGTTGCTATACTAAAAACCACCGTTGTTGAAATTA